AAAATTATTCTTTTTTTTTCTAATAGAATTCTGTACTCACAGCTAGCTTTATAAATCAAAAAGAATGTTGTACAAGTTCTTTCCTGATTTTGGAAAGGTGAGAAAAGAAAACTCGAGAAAAATGACCTAAATACCCAGAGGTTGAACAAGTTTAAGTGCTGCTTCAGTTCATTAACAAATATAAGGCTCTATATCTATAGGAATATTCAAACGTATCTTAATTAAACATGAAGGTCAAGTAAGCTAGCTGTGCCAATAGAACATTCAACAACCGGCTTACGCTTGATAACATATGAATAATATCTCCATAACGATACTCATCATTAGTTCAAAAGTTAAGTATTCACGAGACACGAAATGATATCACTGATTTAGAGCCTCACAGAGATCGATATCAAAATGTCCGTCTTTTGATTTGTACAAATAAAACAGATTAAGTCGTGTTTTCCTTTCATCAGTTATAATTACATGTACATGTATGTGTTCATATAGTTTTGTTTTTGGTCAAGGAGAAAACTTATTGCAAGTAAACACTATAACCACATAGTCAATATAAAAAAAAGCTTGTAAATAAACTGTATACCTAAGGCTATTACATGTATGAAATTCAGATGAAAATTGAATTTTTATTTTCAATTTGATTTTAAGTAAGATCATTCGTTAACTCACACGACCATTTTAACTGTGTTTTGAAATCTGACAAGTTTGTTGATGATAGTAAATATTTGATTTACTGTGGATTTTTTCACCAGCTTAACTTTTGAATGCTGAAAAAATTCAATGTTAACACGTGTCAACTAGTTTGCATTTCAAAATATTAAAAGTTAATTTAGCTTACATTTGTATGCATTTTTTATTCGATGAGGAAGCATGTGTCTGTAGTAAGACTCAAGTCCAATAAAAAATAAAGTTAAGGACACATGCTAAACAAAAAAAAATGGATTCATAAATTGGTTTATATTTTAGGACTTATTTTGGTTGTAAATAATGCTATATCAAATCTCTCAAATATTTTTTTTTTTTAAATAATTGTTGGCTTACTATGATGTTCAAATTTCTTCCTTTTTTCATCTTCGTTATAGATACAATTTTTCCATCTCTATATAGGACATTCTTCTTTTGTATTCTATAATTTTCCATTTGTATTGTATAATTTTTCATTTGTATTGTACAATTTTTATTTGTATTCTAAAATTTTCCATTTGTATCACAAATTCTATAATTTCCCATTTTGAATTGTATATTTTTTCATTTGTATTGTATAATTTTCGATTTCTTTAGTGTAATTTTCCATTTGTATTCTATAATTTTCTATTTACATTCTATAGTTTTCCATTTATATTGTATGATTTTCCATTTGTATTGTATAAATTACCAGATAATAAAAATCAAAAAAATACAAATGAAAAATCATACAATACAAATGAAAAATTATACTTTATAAATGAAAATTTATAGAAATAAATATAAATGGACAATTATAGATTATAAATAAAAATTATACAATTCAAATAGAAAATTATACAATACAAATAGAAAATCATACAATACAAAAAGAAAATCATACAATAGAAATGGAAAATTATATAATACAAAATGGAAAAGATAAAATTTTGCAACTTTTGACATGTTAAATGAAACTGTTGGAAAACAATGTTAGTTACTAATATACGTATATCTAACATATTACTTTTGTATGATTTTACAGTAGTATTCATCTATTTATTTGTATTTTAGTTGTAGTAATTTCCATCTGCTTATTTGTATTTTCAGAAATCTTCATCTATTTATTGTATTTCACAGTAATATTCATCTATTTATTTGTATTTTACAGTAATATTCATCTTCTTATTTGTATTTTACTGTAATATCCATCTGTTTCTTTGTATTTTACAGTAATCTCCATCTGTTTATTTGTATTTTACAGTAATATTAATTTATTTGTATTTCACAGTAATCTCCTCTATCTATTTGTATTTCACAGTAAATCTCCATTTGTTTATTTGTATTTTACAGTAATATTAATCAATTCATTTGTATTTCAAAGTAATCTCCTTTATCTATTTGTATTTCACAGTAAATCTCCATCTGTTTATTTTGTATTTTACAGTAATATTAATCAATTTATTTGTATTTCACAGTAATCTCCTCTATCTATTTGTATTTCACAGTAAATCTCCATTTGTTTATTTGTATTTTACAGTAAAATTAATCAATTTATTTGTATTTTACAGTAATCTCCTCTATTTATTTGTATTTACAGTAATCTCCATCTATTTATATTTTACAGTAATCTCCTCCATTTATTTGTATTTTACAGTAATCTCCTCCATTTATTTGTAATTTACAGTAATATTAATCAATTTATTTGTATTTTACAGCAATCCCCATCTGTTTATTTGTATTTTACATTAATATGCATCTGTTTATTTGTATTTTACAGTATTCTTCTCTATTTATTTGTATTTTACAGTAATCTCCTCCATTTATTTGTATTTTACAGTAATCTCCATCTATTTATATTTTACAGTAATCTCCTCCATTTATTTGTATTTTACAGTAATCTCCTCTATTTAATTGTATTTCCATCTATAGATTCCATCTATTAATTTGTATTTTACAGTAATCTCCATCTGTTTATTTGTATTTTAAAATAATCTTCATCTATTTATTTGTATTTTACAGTAATCTCTATCTATTCATTTGTATCTTCATCTATCTTCATTCTAGGAATCAAAAGACAAAACCAATGATGATTTTTAAGTCAAGCACTATAGGACGAAAGGATTTTCCATTGCAGATTTTCCACGAAAACTAAAATAATACGAATGTACAAGTAATAATAAGTCAAAGTACTTTTGTCAATTCAGAGAGAGAGAGAGAGAGGATAGTTATTATATATTGAAAACTAATATTTATGTATTAAATGATGTATAAAATAGAACATTAATTGGAGCTGTTCAGTTTGTTTTAGCAAATAATTTGACGTAATTAAACATCAGTTCTTGCCATGATTTTATTGAATTTCTATGTGATCTCCCAGTTAAGCTTATATGTTTGATCACTCCGACGTGTTTTTCTCCGATATCCTCTTAACTACTCCGAAATTTAGTTTAATAGATGTATTCAACTTATTTCTAGATTATGCAAGGCGTTGCTATTTTTCCTTAATTTTCCATTGTTAATGTATTTTTTTACTATTAAACAGGAACTTTAAACATGCATATATTTTGGCTATAATCATCTTTTTTTAAAGTTGTTAAATATAACAAGTCATAGTGTTGGCTAAATTCGATAAATAATGATTTTTTTTTAATTACGATGAAGAAGAAGTATGTTTAAAGCGTAATAATTTGAGGCTTAATTTTGATAATGAACCACAAAGCAAAGAACTAAATCATTATTCAGGTTTATCAACCATACAGCGGGGTACAAACATGTTTTAATTAAACAAAGAGCCCATATATACGCTTTGGACCTCCTCTAAAATGTGCAAATATAAAATTGATCAGTGTCACACAATCTGTGCTTACACAGATTCAATAAAGGAATTGTACCCCATAATAAATGAGCAATTCTATTTAGCTGATACCCCTTAAAGAGTTTCCTCGTGAGATCGAAGGCAACGCATATAATCAAACATACACAGAATGATCCCATTGATTTTATACATGAAAAGAGAGAGAAACATTAAAAATGTGCATTTCAGCTTTTGATTTGAGTAATTAAAGAAACTTACATTTAAAAATCAATTGCACTTTGCCTTTGAAGAATTGATTGGTATTGATAATATCGAATAAGCTGATTAATATTACACACAATGGGGGATTCAGTATTGAAATTTTTTTCAATAGCCATGATTAAGAATGTTGCATAATTTCAATACCTCACGGTTTGACATACAGGTGTATAAATTGTTTTGGATAGTAAATAGGTGGTCAGTATAGTTGTTTGTAAATTATGAACTTGTACTCGGTACATTTTATTAATGTATTTATCCCTGAATTACAAAAATTGACGTCAATTGTGTTAAGTTCGTGGCGACCGAGGTATGCAATATGCTAATTACATTACATTTAATTGAATGGCGGTGCAGAATTGAAAAATTCTACAATGCAAATATTGAATTTAATAAAGGAACATGATGCAAACATACAAATAGCGGCTTAATAATTTAGATCAATACAAAACATTCGATATAGGTTCCCTGTTTACAAGTTCATGATTAAAAATAAGTCATTATTTAAATACAAAAATAATCTATCGCCCTTAAATTTACTTTCGTATGCTTATATCTATCAAAGTATAAAGGAACTTTGGGAATATTTCCTTAATTATACAATTAGATTTTTATCATCGTATTCTCTCTTTTTTTTCTCGAGATACAGAAAAAAAGAGTCCTATAGGAACGTAACTTTGTGAATTTTCATGAACGAAATTTGCTGTCTTAAGCCAATAAAAATTTAGGTAGCTCTCACCTTGTTGAGATTTAAATAGTCAACTAGTGAAAAAAAAAATAAAAAGGGAAATGTTGGCAAAAGTATCAGTTACAAACAAAAAGGTAAAAAAAAATATCATTTTGAATGAAAAATATGTGCGGGTGTCAATATAAATCCCCTCAAGAAATGAAACGTCCTTCATATAACTCGGTATACATTGGCACCAGCTATCATTTAATCTCAGAGATACATTATCACTCATCTTTGATGTTTTAAATCGACATTGTCTGAAATTCTTACATCTGCAAAAAGTACATGCATCAAAAGTTTTAAAAGCATTTTCCGTGTTGATGTAAAAGCTTCTGTTTGTAATTTTTACAGCGATATTCTGAATAGTTTGGATAAAATCAATGATGACGACAACTGCTAAAAGTTTTGTAATGTCCTGTTTCTAACATTTAAACATACCCTTCTTTTATAAACCCAACATTAATTTTAAAAGTTGTTTCAGAAACTGTGTTTTAAGAATGACAAGTAACAATTCTTTCCAGATTTTAGCAATGGTTTTCTATATTGTAATAAATCCAACAAAGGGAATAACATTTACTGTATTGCTTCTTGAAATATAAAAAGAGAAAATATGGCCTTTGTATTTTGAGAAAAAAATTAAATCGTCATAGCGTCGTCGTCAGGGACCACAGTTGGCTCTTTGTTGAGAACAAAAGACCGCTCAAAGTCAGCTCGAGCAGATAAGCAGGTCTCGCTCATGCTGAGCCGCTTGGACATTAAGAGATTGCTCTTTCTTCTACTCAAAACTGATTCGTTCTCACTTTCAGCATTAATAGACTGCAGAGATGTTGTGTAGAAGGGTTTTTGTTTTTCAATTCTCGGGACTCCAGGAACATGATGATGGAAAAATCTGTCACAAAAGGGCTTATCCTCTCTCTCACTGATAATACCTTTAAGAGGTTTAGGCTGCGTAACATGTGTCTTAAAAGCAGTCTCCTCAGAGGTCTTCATGGGGAGCCGAAGTCTCAAATACGGCATGTCTTCCATGTGAGGTAATTTTTTGTTAAAGGATTTAAGTTCATGTTGTATTTTGGCTTTCTCTTTTTTAAGAAGTTTGTCGGCGTCCCGTTTGTATTTCTCCAACGTTCGAATTTGCACTTTGAGTCTATAGTCCAGTAGTCCATTTATAACTTTGGTTTTTTTGCGTGCTTCTGCGTCCAGTTTATCATACACATTTGGTAAACAGGCATTGTTAATTGGAGGTGCGCTGACTGGTAGTCCTCCGATACTCATCAATAACCGAGTCGTATTGTCCAGTGTCATTTTCTAACCTTTGAGGACTCCAAAATACTGCTGATTTAAAGTCTGATATATAATTCCCACTTAATACACGACTGTCCCTATTTTTATGATTATTAAAAATATATATTAATATATTATACCGTGTTATGGCTTTCAATGGATCCCAACCTGTATGGATCTGAACTTTGTTGGAATTCGGTTTATTTCTTCATGAAAATATGAACTTGAGTATCGATTTCTCTTCATACACGGGTTTATCCGCTGGAATTGTAAATATCTGTTTCCTCGCCAAACGTCCACGATTCCTGCACATCAATGATGGAATGGTAATCAAAATGAAAAGCTCGGTACTTGGTTTCTTGCTCGTTCTACTGTTGAAACGATGGATGAAACGCGAGGCGCTATCAGTTTTTTGTATTATTTTTCAACCAATCAATACCTGTCATAAAGAAAATTTGAATTAATCTTTGCTGAGCATATTAATTCCTTCAGCTAACAGAAGACCGTAAATTAAAAAGATATCCCTTGAACGCTCTAGACTTTTTATCCTTTCCGTTTGTCATCAAGCAACAAAAGAAATTGATTATTTTCACTCAGTATATATATATATACCCTTTGGATTTTTCTCATTTAAATGATCATGCAATATAAATTTCCCTTTGTCGTAGATAATGTTTGCGAAAGAATTAAATTCCTTTCATGGAAGATTCGAGGAGTATATTTTCCCAAATGGTAGTGAGGCAGCGAAATCCTTTCTGCAAAGACTGTAAAAGTCAAACACTACTCGTACTTAAAGTGTTAAAAAGATCCTCACCTTTTCGTGCATGTCATATCCATATGAAAAAGAAACCGTAATCAAACACGCAACGGCTTTACATCAAATGTGTTGGTCCACTTTCTCTGGCATAACTGAAATGGCTCAATTTGCCTTTAAATTCGCTCAGGTTTGACAAAAATTGATGAATGATATATTTCACCTTTATTGTCAGTCCTTCACATTAATAACTTTCTGACTTCTTCCTTTAAACACAGCAATCATATTTTAAACCTCTTGGCCTTAGAGAAGGCACGTTCCTCGATTCCGCCCACTAACAAAGGATTTAAAGTCAACAATATGCATTAAAAGGCACATTAAAGGGAAAATATTTATGTTTTATTGAATAGTCACTGATTAGCGCAGAAAAGTCAGAGTTATTGAGCAGTGCGGACATAGGGAATGTTTGGTTTGTATCCAACGCAGATTACGGCATATCTAGATTTATCTTTCACTTATCCTCTATTTGTTGAGGGTGTGATTTGAAACATACTTCTATGAATGCACCATTTGTATTCTATCAGTTGAAGTGGTACACCCGCAATTTTAGAGTCATTGACAAATAATTCTTTTATGAGAGAAACGTATTCAATACACTTTTTATTAGTCCCTTACCGGTGAAACCGGAGGGGACCATAGTTTTCCTCTGCGTCTGTCCGTCCGTCTGTCTAGCTGTCTGTCTAGCTGTCCCTCTCTCTGTCTGTCCCACTTTTTTCCTAAATGCTTGCTGATATTGAGCCGAATTTTGGTATGTGAGTATAACTTGATGAGTTACAAATCAACTTTGCATTTCGTTCCGCTTCATTGATTTTCGACGGAATTAAGACCTTTTCAATTTATAAGGGTTTTCCACAATTTTTTTCTAAATGCTTGCAGATATTAAGCTGATTTTTGGTATGTGACTTAATCTTGATTAGTTATAGATCAAATTTGCATTTCATTCCGCTTCAATGATTTTTGTCGGAATTATGGCATTTTCAATTTTTAACGGGAACCAGATTATACTTGCCGGTAGGGGACTAGTATTGCTAATGCAATACTCTCAGAATGCTTGTTTTATATGATGAATTAAAAATGTGTGTTGCAAAAAAATAAGTCCTCAAAACTTTAGTAAATTCAAGATCTATGAAACGGTATAAATATTCTTCTTCTTGATTAAAAATATATACAAATACAAAATTTTCCTGAAACTTTAAATTTATTCTTTTGGATAGTGAACACCCCCCCCCCCCCCAAAAAAAAGCAACTTTCTACAAATTCAAGAAAATGCTATTATTTCAAATTTTATCGTTGCTTTCTAAAGTGACTGACTGGAAGGATATAAGTATATCATCGTCGATTTTCTTAAAAATATTTAAGTAAAAGTTCACTTTGATGTGTTCCATTGTGCGACACGGAAGGTTTAATTAACAATAAAACTTTGAGATGTTTGATTAACACCGTTAAGGTACAATTTTACTTTATAGATAAAGAAAACATTGTCATCTTAGTCTATGCAGTAAAAAGGCACAGAGAGACTCCCATTAAGCTTTCAAAATTCTCAGTTTTAGTACAAACCTGAGAAGAAATGTTACAAATTATTGTTAAGTAACTATAGCCATCATGGGCGGAATATACTTCAGTATTGTTTACACAATGCTTTAAGTGTGGGCTGTAAAGGAGGCTACAGAATTGAACACACATTCTTACACAAACCGTCAGGTAATACGCTGATGATTTTAAATGGTAAATCCATTACCTTGAATACACTGCACCTTATTGCTAATCTTCGATTTCACTTAATGGGTTCCCGTTAAAGAAAAATCGTGAGAATGTCCGAGCGATCCTATACGAATGTATACCCATTCACCCTTTCCGGATCGTATACATGCAATTTTGCTAATCATTAGCAAACATTTGTAACAGAGCGATCTGAATTTTTCTCTAAATGGTCGACCTTGAAAAAATAATCTAGGACGAGGTTTGGTATAGATACTGAAAAAAGATATGGCTTTCTTGTGTTTCATAAATATGGAAATGAGAATTGTGCTAAAGTATTTTATTTAAGAAAAAAAAAACATAAGAAATTTCTAATCGTAAGTCTCTGGGTTTAATCGTAGTATATTTTGCAAAAAAAAAAAACACGAGGCACAAACCTAACTATGGCATACATGTAGATACACACATAACACAAATAATAAAAAATCAATGGTGAGAAAATGGACAAAAGTCATCACATGCATTTAATCGAAAGAAAGCGTCTCTGAGTTATGAACCCGAACTATTCTTTTACAGCGTAACTTTTTTTTTTAATTTTGTTTTCTGCAACATTCCCTTTTTAATTTTAGTCATAACATTTGGCCGAGCCAAATTCAGAAATCACACTTCCTCATACTATATTTCGATTCCATTTTATGTAAACTTCAAGAAATATTAATTTAACAAAATAATATAGGATAACCTATTAATAATAATAATTGGATGGGTTTTTTTTTAATTCTAGGGGAGATTCAACAATCATGTAATGTAAACGTCTAACATCATAATTTATTTCTATAAAAACTGAAATAATTAAATGCTAGTTAAACCATCTCACTATTTCAATTTACATTACAAGAATCTTATCAATTCAAAAATAACATCTTTGGTAATTAAAAAGGAACCAAAAAAAAAAAATAGAGTCCAGACGTTTATGATACCACTATTAAATGATTTCTATTGCTGGACTGCAGTTTTGAACAAAGGAAGATAACTCGTGCTTTTGGTCATGAATTTTATTTCATCCAGGATTTCGCCCTGTTCTCATTTCTGTTGGTTTGACAGTCATAAAATCTCTATTAAAATGATGTGTAAATATACACAATACCAGAGATGGGAAATTCTTGCCAGCAAATTTTACAATGTAATTTAAACATGTCTTTATTATTTTTTGATAAAAAAAAGGATTTTAAGTGTTTCTTGTGTTATAGATTTTGGGAGTTGTGGGTGTAAATTAAAAACAGGACGATATTTTTGTCTTATTTGGTGGCGTAATAAATTATTGCTTAAGTATTTGCTTTTTGTTCTTGTTCTTGATAATTCAAATTAATATTACAAAAGTATTCACTCTTTTATTTTACAATAAATGAAGATCATGTCAATGTTAATAAAACTCGCCAACTTACTTAAATCAAAATTTCTTTTACAACTAAACTAACCAGCCTAACCATATTAGATATGTATCATTTGATTTGATTGTCCATGAATTAGATCGTTAGATGACTTACAATTTAATACCAAGTATTTGTAAATGTGATCTATGTAACTGTAGATCTTTGAGAAACACAGCCTGCATATTTACATGTACCTGCATATTACGTACATACTTTAAAAATTTTCAGTTTATTCTAGGAGAGAGAGATCCATATTAAGTTCATGATAAATTCATATTTTCTTTTTATTTACCCCATAGGTATCAGTAATTCTGGATGCATATATAAAATAAATAATAATTAAATAAACAAAATTTAATGAATAAACATAAAACAATAATAAGATATAACAACGTGATTTGCATCAAACTTAAATTTTCATTTCTCGACAACAACAAAAATATATACTGTCAGTAATTCATTTAAAGCATTTATTTCCCTTTGAACACTGAATTGTTACAAGTATTGAGATTTTAAGGTTTGAAAACAAAACTGCAGTTATTTATTGAAATATAGAAGAGTCTGAGTAGCAATACTACTATATTAAGGCATGTTTTTCAATGTAAAAATACTAGCAGTACAATAAGTTCCTAGTACAAATCATTTCTGTCGTCGAAAGTGACAGTTGTGCCTTTCGGTAAATTTTGTCTTAGAATTCAATTAAATTCGGACAATCTACCCATTTATCGTAGCCCACTTACATGATTTCAATGTTGTAAAAGATAAATTGCTAATCCAAAATAATTTGTCAATTCTGTTCAGTATTATTGCAACCTATTACATTACATCAACGGGGGGTATCAAGTATCTAACTTTTCAATGAGAGAACTCTGTACTAAATATTTTCCCTAGTTCAAAGTGTCAATATTGATATTATCAAAATATTCATTGGAGTCAAACATTCACATCACTTGAAAGAAAAAAAAATAGTTTTATCAATAAGTGGATTCCAGTTTTTACTTCACTTTGAAAGTTACTTTAAAATGCCCATAATGTAATTCGGTCCTTCTTGAACTTTGAATTATGGCGAAATTTCATATGTACTGGTTATATTTTTATTTTGAGGTAATCTTTAAAAAAAGAAATGTTGATGGGGAAAACAATCGAGATTTTTGCGAATTTTAAAAATACGTATATGTATTAATATACATATTGTGTAATTTGGTAAGGCAACTACCGTGTGGAAA